GGACTGGGTGACTCCAACTTCTATGAGTTCTATGTGAGGGAAAGAAAGAATTTGAAAATGGGAAGAAGTAAATGATTGGAATAATCACTGTGAAATTCAATGTGGAGATCATGGTGTTCTGAGGACTCACCTGCCCCCAGCAGATGGAGGGCCGCCCAGCAGAGGAGCTTGGTGACCATGGCAGGATTGGGCAGGATGGAATGTTCGCCAGATCAGGGTCCTTGTGAGCAGGAACAGAGGAGGAGGAGGGACATTCCTTTTCCCCAGAAGGCAGTTCCTACAGTGACATCACTGTCTTCACAGATGCCCACAGTCTTAGAAACCAATTGATATGAAGTAAAAGATAGCTAGAAGTTTGGTTAACACGTTCATGGACTAAGGTCAGTTCATGGACTGACCTGCCCCTAGTAAAACCTCTTGGGCACTAGGTCTCTCCTGACTACCCTGGCAGAATACTGCACACACGTGGCTGCAGTTTAGTTGCTGAGAAAGAGTGAGCTCCGTGTGGCCCCTCCTGGGAGGAAGAAAGCATAAGGGGGCCTGCCTGCCTGTGGATTCCTCCAGATTCCACCTGTGTCCTTTCCCTCTATGATCCACAGCTGAATACTTATTATGTCACTTTAATGTATTTTAGCCATGAGTACTATTCTGTGCTGTGTCCCGTGAGTCCTTCCAGCTAATCTCTAAATATGGAAGTACAGCTGGGGACACCATCACAGTGCCAAAGGATATTTTCACTGACATGGAATGGTGTTGGTCTTAAATAGGAAGAACATTCCAGGCATAGGGAACAGTCAGAGCAAAGGCCTAAGGCAGAAGTTTGCCAGGCGTATTTGAGGAATGGCCAGAAGGCCAGTGTGGTTGTGAAAAAATAAGCAAGGGAAAGAGAAGCAGAGGAGGAGACAAAAAACATAATGGAGAGGGAGGTCTAGGGCCCTGCAGGCTTATGTAGGCTGTAGGGTTTCACGTGGCTCATGCTCTGAGCCCACTGCTCCGGCAAGTGCTCTGTGACTCCTATGCAGCAGGGACTTCCCAGGGAGGGGCGGGGACTCCTGAACACAGGGCAACCTCAGTGTGTCTAACTCCCCTTTATGTGCAGAGAGCAGGTGGCCATGCAGCGCTGTGACTCACTG